ATGAAGAGTTGTTGCATAGAATCCCAAGTTGTTGATAGAATGGGAAGTGATCCTTGTAGTAAGTTGGATCTGAGGTCAACAGTTACAACAGTTCCAGAACCAGATAAATCTATATCATTCAAGGAGTTATGAGAAAGGTTTAAATAGGACAATGACGACATCCCTTCTATTTCCTGCTTGTGTATGTTGCAAGATGGTACACAACCTAATAGCTTATTTGATGATAGTGACAAAAAAGTAAGATGGGTGAGGTTGAAGATTGATGTAGGAATTTCACCACCAAAATTGTTTACTTCTAAGTTCAAACTAGTTAGCTTGTGTATTTTTCCAAAAACATCTGGTATTTGCCCTCGCAAATGGTTGGAAGAAAAATCTAGTTGAGTTAGCTCTGTAAGATTTGCAAGAGATTTAGGAATTGATCCATAAAATTGGCAGTGATTGAGAACCAATTCCTTTAGGAGTTTAAGATTTCCAATTGAATGAGGCAACTCCCCTGAGAAGTGTGTGAATGCAAGATTCAAATACTCGAGGGTACTACTCTGATTTGACTCGGGCAAATTACCGCTTAAATCAAAGTTCCATTCTAAATCAAGAAACTGGAGAGATGGAAGCTGAAAAACTTGGCTTGGAAAGTTTCCTTGCAAATGACAATTGATAAGGCTCAAATGCTCCAAGGAAGAAGTCAAGTTTAGCAAGGAAGAAAGCAAAACCTGATGCATATCCACACAATCAAGGATAAGAAACCTTAATTCTGTTAAGTTATGCACAAGCATTTGAAACTTTATGTTGTCAAGAAGCAAATCATAATAGTTATGAGAGAGATCGAGTGAAACCAATTTTGGTAGCAAGAAGATCTCATCAAACAGGAATGAGCCATTTTTGTCCATTGAACCTGCAAGGTTAAAGATTTGTCACATTAGAAGAAGTGAAACCAGTTTTGGAAGCATGGAGATTTTAAACAAAAGAAATGAAATCTCATACGTGAAAGATTAAGATATGTCAAACCCTTCCAACGGTCGAATCCAAAAGAGAGATTGGGGTAGCTAAAATGGTTGTGAGCAAGGTTGAGGCTCTGCAATTTCTCAAGGCGGAAGAGACTACTATTTGTAGTTAGATTGGCTTCAATACAACTCCAGCTAAGATTAAGGCCAATCACGTGACCTTTCACCTTGTCGCATGTGATGCCCTCCCAAAAGCAGCAATCTTTACTCTCGTTCCAAGTTCGCATTACAGGACGAGGAGTACCAGAACAGTCGTTCCAAGTTCCCGAATTAGTAGTGCTTTTGAAATCAAGCAATGCGGAACGCTCTTCAGGACGGCACAAACGTGGGGATGGATCGGGACAAGACTGAGAAGGTGAGGAGATTTGGACTCGAAACTGTAACAACATGAAGGAAAGGCAGAGGATTTGGGAAAACCTTATTAAACTTGCCATTTTCTTAAAGATAAACACAATTCAGCAAACAAAGGAGTGATGGATTATTCAAAATTGAAGTGCTGGACACCAGTATTTATCGTCTTCCCAAAAGTGAAAGTCCTTCAACTTTTTTCCAAATTACGTGTAAACTTCTTTAGCACGGTCAAATTTTTTCTTTATTATTTTATAAAGGTTAAAACTTCATTTTGGTCCTTGAACTATTGTACGGACCCCCGATTTGGTCCCTAAACTAAAAAAATCCCTGATTTGGTCCCTACTGTTTACCATTTTAACCCCGATTTGGTCCTTCCGTTAAATATCCGCTTACGTGTCTTGTTACTTGACGGTGAAAATGATGACATGTCAAATATAATACACGTGGAAGACAATAGGACCGAAAAAAGTGATGACATGGAAAAAATAATAATATAAAAAAATATTATAAAAGATAAAACTTAAAATTTTTTTTTTCTTTTTCCTTCTTTCCTTTTCTCTTTCCCCTTCCCCTTCCCCTTCGCCTTCCCCTTCTCTTTCCCCCACGCCTGGGTTCGACGGGACCCAGGCGCGGCCTGGGTTCGACGGGACCCAGGCGCGGCCTGGGTTCGACGGGACCCAGGCGCGGCCTGGGTTCGACGGGA